CTTTAATTGTTAACCTCCTCCGATTATAGAGCTCCGTTAATTGCTAATGCTGTCTGATTATGACGATCCGTGAACTGTCGATGCTCTGCGATTATGACGATCCTTTAATTGTTAACCTTCTCCGATCACGACAAGGCACCCCTGAAGGCGTCCCTCTTCACCAGTTGTTTTATAGCTCAGCACTGCAGACAACAGTCCTGTTTTATAACAGTATTAATGAACTGGGGGAACATAAAATGGACTCTTTGGTTATTTAGAAATCATTGTCTAAACAAATAAGTAGAGAAATGAGTATGCTGTAGAACGTCATATTTTTCCGTAATAACTTTTATCTTGGAAGTGATGACCGACGAATTGAGTATGGTGACGTCACGGCGTGTTAGGTTCTATTTATAAAACGAGAGAAGATATCGGCTCGTGTGAGTTCATCTGAATGTGCGAAAGGTAGACGGTTTAGCTTCACAGCTCTAAGATAAGGCTTATCATGCACGCAAATATTGTATGAAGTGTGTTCTACGGTGGTTTCATGTGTTTGCTAGTAAACTGAAGTATTGAGAGTTAATGCCTTTTGATTTGATATGTGTGACTCGTACCGACGGTTCGGCCCACAAGGTATATCTGGCATGAACAGCAGGTCTTTACTTCGGAATTACAAAGTTCTATCTTACATTATCGGCCGTTTTGAGTTGCTAAGACCATGAGGTCAGAAATCTTAATGTTCTGTCGGCTCATTCAAAATCGTCAGATTATTCGGAGTCGTTATCAAGATATTCAAAGAATAATTGCATTCAAAAGAGCTTGGCATGTTGTGAAACTCAACATACATTTTTTACGTCAAATTTCTCAAAATTTAATACCTAGCACATAGAACTTTGGAATTTTAAGGTAGCGGGATATTGTCAAAAACACGTGTGTCTAGATCTATAAATAACACATTTTGTGGGTTTTCTATTTTTTGTTGTGCTTTTTGTTGGCTTTTTTTTCTTTCTTTTTTTTCTTCTTTTTTAGTCACTTTGACCGCTTTTTTGTCCCGGGGATCATCTTTTTAAAGCTAAAGTATGCGTTTAAACGTGTTGTTAGCGATTACAGAAAATGTGTCTGTTGCTATGGGGATATAAGTCTTGTTTTGAACTGTCCGCGTGCTTGATTGTGAGAGTAGCAGCTTTGGTAGTTCGTGTGAATATTTTGTACTGTTGACGTAGCTATCTAGCTGTTATTCCTTACTGGGCTGGAATATGCGCATCTTGAATCTGGTGGCTCGGACCAAATTGAGACCATAATGGGGGGGAGGGGGGGGGGGAGGACGACTAAAGTCCAAACTGGAAACCGGCGTCTGTGATGTAGTGATTATAAGAGGCGCTTTACCGTCGCAAGCAGGAGACTTGAGTTCGATTCCCGTTTGGGGAGAATAATTGTGAGGCAGCATGGAGGAATCAGGCTCTCGTCAAATTTTTGGCATGTAGAGTTATTGGTATCATCTTAAAGCTTGTTCACTTGTCTTTATTTGGTTGAAAAAAATATATATATATCTTGAATACAAGTAGAAATATTTGTGAATGAAAGAAGTGGGGGTCACCTGTTTTTAGAGGTGAAACTAGTGAGAAAATAGCCGCCAAAGATTCGTTATTTCCTTAGCTTAAGAGTCCGTGGTAACTGAACATTTACGTTTTTTGTGCGTTTAATCAACGTTTTTCAGAAAAATCCACACAGAAATGAGTTTTTTAATGGGCATAAAAGGTGTTGAGCCAAAAAACAAAAAATTGATAAAAGTTCACAAACCTGCGAAAAAATGCAAGTTTCTTCACTTTGATTATTTTGACGAGAGCCTGATTCCACCTCGCTTCCTCACAATTATTATTATCGAGTATCTCAGTATTTCTGGCCGTTTCAGCCCCCGCTGGTCCTGTCAGGTAGGGTCGAAGCACGCCTCCAAAATTATTTAAACTGGGTCAATGGGCGCGTTAAAACTCTTGGTCTTTTCTTTTCTTGCTTCTGATATTGTTTCATACATGTAGCATGGAATTGACACGTCATATACAGTGACCCTTTAGTAAAACGTAATTTGTCGTGAGACTTTGAGTTTGAGCAAAAGACAAGAGACGGGTGGAATGCCATTTGTCAGGCAGCGTGGTGGAATCAGGCTCTCGTAAAAATAATTAAAGTGAAGAAACTTGCTTTTTTCTGTTGGTTTGTGGATTTTTATCAAATTTTTGTTTTTTGGCTCAACGCCTTTCATGCCCATTAAAGAACTTATTTCTGTGTGGATTTTACTGAAAAACGTTGATAAAAGGCACAAAAAATGTAAATTTTTAGTTACCACGGACTCTAAAGCTAAGGAAATAACTAATCTTTAGCGGCCATTTTCTCACTAATTTTACCTCTGAAAACAGGTGACCCCCACCTCTTTCATTCACAAATATCTCGACCTGTATTCAAGATAAAGGGATATATTTTTCGTCCAAATAAAGACAAGTGAACAAGCTTTAAGATGATACCAATA